TGGAAATTTACAAGATTGATAAATGAAGAAATGTCCATAAATATCTAAGACATTAGTATCGTGCAAAAAAAGAACTTTTGAGAAAAAAGGGAAAATTAGAAATAAAGGATATCTACTTAAAAATTTGTCTATATACACCTTTTTTGTGAGATTGTCAATTTGGACAATTTTACCCCTACACCCTAATTTAAATATTTTTTAAAAAAAATAATCATAAAAACAGGTAGATATATAAGAGTAGAGGTGATTTGAAGTCAACTTTTTGATATTTGGTTAAAAAAAGTTTATATTTTGATAGAAAAAGTTTCGTCTAATTTTGTTAGAACTCGTTTTCTAGAGTTCTGCGAAAGTTAGAGTATGTATTCTACATTTTTGTACATGTTCTACATATTTTAGACTAGTTTTTTGTTCTAAAAATTTTAGAAGTCAGAAATCATATATCTAAAATATTTAGAACATGTATTCTACGCTTTGCTCTATGTTCTAAATCTTTTTGAATAGCCGTTCTACTAATTACTATATCTTCTACCATCGTCAGAAATTGTAATCTTCTTTTAGAATGTAAATTCTACGATACTATAGATTTTGTTTTCTGAAATTTTTAGAACTCTCTAAATATAGAAAGTAAATCTTCAGAAAAGGAAACTAAATATTTATTGTAGATTACGTTTTAAATGGATATTAATTGTTTAGATTACGATCTACATAATTTAGAAATCGTTTTCTACGTTTTTAGAAAAAAAGTTAAAACCAAAAACGTTTCTAAACCCTAAGCCAAGCCACCACTTTCGATTTTTTGCTACTCCCTGCGTTTTCTTTCGAATTCTCTCTTTTTTCTTCAACGTTTTGTGCCTTATCATCATCTAACTTTCAACTAAAAAAATAAAAATAAACAAGTGTGTGCACATGGAAGACACCACCACATTTTTTTTTTATATTTTTGATAAGATAAATATTTCCAAAGCATCAATCAAATAAGAAGGCATCATCATAGTCAAAAAAAAAAAAAAAAAGTGAAAGGAGTTTTTCTATTTAGTAGAGACCACTTTAACAAGAAGAGGGACACTTGCTTAATCCTACTTAGTAGTCTCCTTAGCTCTTTAGTAGCCCTTTGGTTCACTGTGGCAACGTGTTGTTCACATAGAGTATGAAGAATACTATCATGTTCAAGTCAACCTATATGATTGAACACAAACCAATGTTCTTTAGAGATACTAGCGATCAAAACAATTGATTGTTTATTATGTCAAAACGAGAATGAGAAAGTTTACATTGTCGAAGAGGTTAATCTTTTTTAAAAAAAAAAAATCGGAAGCTCAAATTGATATCTAAGAAGATTGAATATTTGAACAACATAATTCCTTTTAGATTTCTATTTAATTTTTGTAAATAGATTAGGAAGTTTTATTTTTAAAATTAATTCAAAATTAATTTTGAGAGATTATGAGGGTAAAGTTGGGTTTTGATTTTTAAAAAACTTATTTGACAAATCTACAAGAAAATGGGATATATGGACAATTTTTTAAGGAGATATCTTTTTTTTCCAATTTTCCCGAAAAAAAATTCATATAAGGATATTATGGTAATTTTTCGAAGTCTATGAGAATCTACCGTTTGTTTAGATTCATTCATGTTTAACGCTGTTAAGTAGCGTCAGCTCCGACTCACACTGCCACTAACCAGAAAAAGCTTACGAGTAGAGATTCACACGTGTTGTAACCAAAGGCCACACGTGCGCGAGAAGAGGCATCACTCACCGTACGCGTATGTCACGCCCGTGAGAGTGAGCCCATGACTAACGCACGGATCACGGAGAGGGGTAAAATCGGAATTATGTTTAAAAATAGCCAACGGTCAAAAAGATAATTATGGGAATCCGATGCCTAGAAAGATAATTATGCAATTTCTATGTACCCGCCGGCTTTGTTTCCGAAAGGATTTCGATCTTTGTCGGCTTTGTATAACTCAATCGCATTCTATCAATGAAATCCTTTAGACAAAAAAAAAAAAAAAGGGAATCCGATGCCAAGAAAGATAATTGCAATAGTAAAGTTAAGTCTTCATATGCAACAAAAAAAAAAAAAGACATTAGCCTCATGAACCAAGGTCTATGTTTCTTATGCAATTTCCATTAATATTATCTCGTAACACTAATAATCGGATCTTGATTTTACTAATGACCCATAAATCTAGACGAATGCTATAAAAAGAGTGATTGATTTATTGTCGGTGATTGGTTTCTTTAGTGATTCACCATATGCAATGGTTAGAGTCTTGAGACAATACATTGAATTATAAAAGATGAAGAAAACAAATGAAAAAAAGAAGAGGTGTATAATATAGTGGATGATCTGGACAAAGTTCCATTAGTAAGCCACCCAAAACTTGTCTTTTTCATTTATTTTTTTAAAGGTCTATCAATTTATACAATTGTACATTTCTTTTATGCTTTAGCTTCTGCCCACTTGAGCGTGAGTCCAAAAACAGGAGTGAGCAAATGTCATCGATAATTGCTGCAAGATCACGAAATCACAAACACGTATGTTTTTATTCTTATACGTATTTGTGTTTATAATACATATTTATGCATATCACATGGTGCATTTTCATGCTATGAGAATATTGGTTTCCACATGTTCACAACTATCATTTTTCTACTTGAATAAAAGACTACAAAAATCCTACATTTTTTTTTTTTTTTTTGAGCAAAACAAAAATCCTACATTGGTCCGAAATAAATTGTTGTTAGTGTTATGAAATAAAAAAGGAAAAAACAATATTTAAACCGTATTTTTGTATTTAAATCATATATTAATTTTATGCTTTAGGCCTCTCAAAACTAATCCGGTCGTGAGAAGTATTTGAAATCAATTCTTATCAACCGAAGATGTTGAATTCTTCAAATTTTCTATTTTTAACTAATGAAATCCTTTTATTGAATGCCGTCAAACCATTAGTTTTCTTTTCTCTTTTATATTTTTTGGTGGAATATGATGAAAGAAGCAGAAGATGATGAAATGCAAAAGATTTGATTAATACATGCACAAGAAAGGAGGTGGAACCACAAGCTTTTCTACCATGTATATATATTTTTATAGCTCTCCATTATTGTGTTCATAATGCAAGCTTAGATGCTCTTTTTCGGTAAAATATTTTTCGGTATTATCGAACTTTAGATTCCTCTTGTATGTTATGGGTCGAGCATTGTGTCTATTTGTAGTTCAATCTTTTTTTTTTTTTGTGTTATGTAACATTTCCGAATCTTAATCAATTTTAATTCAGTGAAAAAAAAAAAGATGAGAAGTGTTTTTGGTTGTACTTTTTATACCAAGCAAAATTTGTTTTGTTGGTGTATATGTGATGTATTTCTACATGTATAGACAGAGTGGAGAGATGTATATGTGACATGATTGGACATGATCATGTGAATGGAAGGAAGTGTTTGTCTTCATGGAAAAGCTGTTGAGACATGTGACTCTCTTTTTGTTGTTTCTTCTTCTTTATCCTGGTGAATCACAGACACTAATGCAATAACAAAAATGAAACTTTTGAATCCAATTTTGACTTGTAACTATCTTTGACGCAAAATGTCAAGCATGTGTTCAATCTTTTATTGTTTCACACTAAAAGTCATGCACTGTGATTATACACTTATATTTATATGGAAAGTAATGTATCCATTAGAAAATCAGATTAGGCCAAAATACTTCTCACAGACTTCAAAATATATTTAAAATTGACCAAGAAGTAGGGCAGAGACCCAAAAGAAATTAAATACTCCTTCCGTTTTCGAATAGTTGTCGTTTTAACTATATGCACACAAATTAAGAAACTATTAATGTTGTCATTTTTTCAATATAAAAATATCATTAATTATCTACCTAAACATAATTTAACCAATAATAAATCAAGTTGCATAATAAAAATAAATATAAAAAATAAAAAAGCAATAAATTTTGCATCGAAAACTGAAAACGACAACTAATTAAAAACAAAAATTTTTTTCTAAAACGACAACTATTCGAAAACGGAGGGAGTATTGAGAAATGAAAAAGGCCAGCCAATATGGGTCATATTTGGACCAACAATTAATTTGAACACTCATTTTAAATATTGTTGACAGGACCAGAGTCTTCTAAATGAATTGACTCCTACCGGCCCATATAGAAAATAATCACTGCCCTGGGGAGACGGATTATTCGATTTTCTGTGTGTTATAAACTAATGGAAAGTCTTAACAATGCTCTAAGCAGGAATCAACTGTATTTCTTTCTAGATTGAAACCAATTGATATGGGAGTCAAGCAGATTCTGTCATGAGGAAACAAGAAAACGTGCAGACCATTAAGTGGATCACTTGAGATGCAACAAGGGACATGAGGAGTTGAGAAAAAGCAGACAATATAAGTTGGTGTTCAAAGAAATGTTTATGTTGACCTATCCGGCTATCCAAAACACAACAAGTTCCTGTTTCTCAAGATTTCCAATCTGAGAAAACTTGGTTATTGGATTCATGATCCTAAAATCTCAGTGTCTAAAACAATCAGTTTATGTAGGGTCTTATTTAGGAAATGATAATTACACACTTAACATTTTTTAAAAAATTTCTCAAAAGATGAAGTTTCCTTACTTTGATTCATGGTTTACAAAGATGAGGATAGATCATCAATCAAATGGGTCAAAAGCTCAACTCAAGCTGTCTTGAAGTAAAAAGAAGGTGCATACCATGTTCCCATGTAAAGAAGAGATAGATTTATGATTCTTTTTGAAGATTGTTTTCCCTTGTTAACAAATACAAGACTACTTCTTGTTGACAAATCGATGACTTGGTAATTGGATTCATGATCCTAATCTCAGTGTCTAAAACAATCAGTTTCTGGTCTTATTAGGAAATGAGAAATCTAACACTAATTGTTATTGTAACTTTTTTTCACACAAAAATCAGTCTATCAAGAGCTTTCTATGAGATGATCACAAATATCATGGCAAGAACACAACCACTGCATAATATCATCAACCTAAACACACAACATAAGATTGAAACACAAAGAGGCGAATTCAATGGAAATTCTATTAAATTGTATTTTTAATATTCAGGAGTAATAATTTACAGTGTCTCAATAACAAGAAATAAGATTGTAACTCTCAATAAACAGGGGATCACCTAAACCCCAAAAAACAGAAAAAAAACAAAAAGTGTCAATCTGAATGAGAGTAATGATCATAATAGTTATCATCAAACGATGAAATAGATCGATCATCATCATCATCATCAGAATAATAATCACGATGATTATAAAGATTATTATGATCAAAAGCAAGTCGATCATCATCATCAGCATCCGAAGAAGAAGAAGCAGATAAAGTTTCGTAGGTGTAGGAGTAGAAAGAATCAGAAGAAGGTAAACACATGAAAGTCCATAAACAGAGAACGAAACGACTCAATTGATGCATCGGGAAGCAAACAGCTATGTCAAGAAGCTGCTCTGTGTTGATCCTCTGCGACGATGGAACCCTCCAAATCAATTGCCACGTGTCGGTGGAGACTTCAGCCACCGCCATAACCGTCGCACTGTTGAACACCATTACCAAGAATCTCTCTCTCTCTCTCTCTCTCAAGCTGCGTTGAATTGGCGATGGCTTTTTTTTTGGTTGGTTACGATTTTGACTTTCTTCTCGGAACCGTTTCGTGACTTTGTTGTTGTTGTTTTTTCTGCAAGTTGACCGTTTTTTTTTTTTGTACAACAACCAACTAGGATCAGAAATATATGTTTTGTTTACTCAATTTGGACCCCAAAGTTACGATCGTTTTAAGGGAATCATTCGAAAGTTGGAACCTTAGAGCTTAAAAAAACAAAACCCAGTTTTGATTTTACAATTTAAAGCCCAAAGTTAAAACCTTTAGACAAGAACTAGATAGTGGTTTTGTAAGTTTAAGGTTTGTGTCCTATATCTTATAGGCCCAAACCATTACTTGTGACTACAGAGAGATGGAGCCACTGAAATAGCAAACGGTCATTTGAAGATAAGGCCATGTTTTGTGAGTGTTGTCTTCTTCTTCTTTCTCTATGGCTAAAGTCTGAAACGTTTTCAGAGCCGTAACAATGGCTTTGCTTCATTCCGTGAATGTTTCACGTAGCACTTTTCCTTTGAGTAGATCTTCAAAGATTGTTTTGAGCTCATCTTTTGCTTCTTTGCCACTTCAGTTTCATAGAAACTTCAAGAGATTAGAATCCTCTGTTCCACCATCAGCTTCTGCAGCAGCTTCACCGGCATTTCCTATCGACGTTGAGTATCTCCGGCAAGAGTTCTCCGGCCATGGAGCCACTTTCGAAGATATAGGTAAATATTTCTTCAATTTCAGTCTTTGAAGTTAAATGAGTTGTTTTTCTAAAGCTTAACACTATGATAATGGGGCAGGTGAGACATGTATTGCTAAACTAAAACTGGACAATGGGAGTTCAGCGAATGTGATGTTGACACGTGGGATGATAACCTCCTACAAAGTCAGAGTGTGGCACGGAGGCAAAGTGGAGCTTCTTCACACATGGGTCGAACAAGAGGAGGAAGAAGAAGATGTAGTGATACGAGGAGGTGTTTCAACTGCATTTAATTCATCAGATTCTGATGATATTAATGAATGGAGACTCCATGGGATCAGTGGAGATTCAAAGGATTGTGTTCAAATGGAGCTAAGAAGAAGTGACAAGAAGATCAAAGAGATTGAATTAAAACAGATTATAAGTCTGAGAGAAGAAACACTGAGCATTGAGCTTTTTGTGACAAACAAAGGCATTTCACCAATTAGACTTGAGGGTTGTTCACTTGTAAGTTATTTGACAGTGAGTACACCAGAAGCTACATATGCAGTTGGGCTAGAAGGTTCAGATTTTGTGGAAACGACACCGTTTCTTCCTCGTTTCAGAGTAGTTCAAGGAGAGGATGAAGAAGAAAAAACAACCGGGTTTGGTGGGGAAGAAGAGAGCAACTACAAACAGTTGAACGAAGAGATGAGTAGGATTTACACATTTGCTCCAAAGAGCTTCACTGTCATTGATAGGGTAATAATACATACATACACACTAACTGTCAACAGAAATTTGTTTGTGGATGATTAATGAAGTCGGTTACTTATGTTTTCGTAGGGACGAAGGAACTCGGTGATAGTGGGAAGAGAAGGGTTTGAAGAAGTGTACATGTACAGTCCTGGTTCAAGACTTGAAAGTTACACAAAGTCTGCTTATGTATGTATTGGACCATCTTCGTTGCTAAATCCAATCTCTTTGGAACCTGCTTGTGTATGGAGAGGTGTGCTGCATCTACATAATCCTAATTCATAAGTTTTTTTTTTTCTTTCTATAATAATATATTGATTTACTGAAAGTCATCAACACAACTCTTTTCCAACGATAAATTCATAAACAACAACAATTGCACCTCGTATTCTATTTTTGCAAACTGTCTTAAGTTTCTATTTTGATTTCATCAAGTACAAGTCTGAATTATGCAAACCTATGCAATCTTATTTCTGGAAGATTATTTTAAACTAAAAATAAACTTTAACATAAGTACAAAACATATTTCATAGATTAAACTTTCAAGATATAAAATTACACGAAATTGAAATGCTTTTTCAGTGGATCATGCAGATTCAGACTCAGACGTCGTATCTCTGTTTTCAGGCCTTCTAAGTTTAGACTTCCAATATGAGCCCAAATATACGTTCGAACATTTAAGAGTACAAAAACTTTCGTATTCACCTCTCCTCTTGAATACCAATGTTTGTGTACAACGAAAATTGCAATAAGAGCAAAGCAGCCGAGAGTTACCATCATTGCGAGCAATTTCAAGTTGATCATCAGGACTTACAGATGAAACGAAGGTGAAGTTGGGCTTCATGAAGATATCTTCCCCCAGTAAACAGGTGACATGGAGAGTGATCCTACAAGAGTCACATGTATAAAACCATGTCCGTGGATCTAATTTTGATTCACATTTCTCACACCAATATTGGCCATTTGTAGTATCTTCTTCACCGTAGCAAAGAGTGAGTGGATGCCTATCGTGTTTGTAGTGTGCCTCAGTAGGCAAAAGGCTGAATACAAGGCTGAATTATGCAATCTTATTTCTGGAAGATTATATTAAACTAAAAAAAACTTTAATACAAAACATGTTTCATAGATTAAACTCTCAAGATATAAAATTACACGAAATTGAAAGGCTTTTTCAGTGGATCATGCAGATTCAGACTCAGACGTTGTTTCTCTGTCTTCAGGCCTTCTAAGTTTATGAGTCCAAAGAATCTCCCAAACAAGTAAGAGTACAAAAACTTTCGTATTCACCTCTCCTCTTGAATACCAATGTTTGTGCACAACGCAAATTGCAATAAGAGCAAAGCAGCCGAGAGTTACCATCATTGCGAGCAATTTCAAATTGATCATCATCAACTGAAACGAAGTTGGGCTTCATGTAGATATCTTCCCCCAGTAAACATGTGACGTGGAGAGTGATCTTACAAGAGTCACATGTATAAAACCATCTCCATGGATGTAATTTTGATTCACATTTCTCACACCAATATTGGCCATTTGTAGTATCTTCTTCACCGTAGCAAAGAGTGAGTGGATGCCTATCGTGTTTGTAGTGTGCCTCAGTAGGCAAAGTGGCACATCTAATACCCAAAAAGGAATTGCATTCAATGCATTCCAGAAAATAGGATGAACACTCAGCAGAATCACACCCTATGCAAGTACCTGTGGTCAAGTTGAAGAAGAGATCGTGTGGATGACAACAATGAATTAGAGGATCTGGAAGGGAAGCGCACCTGACGTCTAGTAGAAATTCTTCACAACCTTTTTCATGGCATCTGTAGAGGAAACCACAACCATATCGGAAGCAACCATCACAATTGAATAAGGTTTTGGTAATAGGCATATTCGGGTCCGTGTAGGTGTCAACAGTAGGGAAGACGTGGAGGGTAAGTGGGTGTTTATGTAGTGGGTTGTATATTTTGCGAGGAAGAGATGCACATGCTTCGTCGAGTACAAAATCACACTCCACACAACCATAAAATCGCTGAGAAATCATTACTGGAAGGGTGCATGCCTCACAAAACTTGTCTTTCTCGGTAATGGTTTTCTTTACATGGAGCTTCATATAATGCTCATGATGACTGAAATGTTGAATTGTCTCCTCATCAATCTTCAGGAATGGCGGTTCGATATACTCCTCGGGTTCTTCAGGCACTCCATCAAGATCTATTCCATCCCACACGTCTCTCCATGTTGCACATTTCGAATGGATAGCATATTGGCATCCCTTATCACAAGAGTATTGCCCGCAGTTGACGTCAACAGTTTGGCGACAAACTCCACAAGAGAAATCACCAGGTTGAAGGGAGGAAGTGAGAGAGAGACGATGTGGGTGTCGGGTGATCTTAATGACACGAGGTAGATAGATACATGATCTGTGGACCATAAGGCTGCAAGGTAGACAAGCGTAAACGAGATCGTCGGTGTCTTTGTTTAGAAGAAAGCCACAAACATCGCATGGCCAATGGATTCGCATAAGGAAGAGGGTGAGGGTGTGCTCATGACATTTCAAGTGTGAGATAGTGGTAGGTGGTGGTCTCATCGAGCAAGTCAAGTTAAGATTGAACTTGCAGATAGAACAATGATAATATAGCTTTTCTAAAGGAGAAGCACAACATTTGCATTTCAGGTGATTTCCATATATAGGACAAAGAGGCACCATCATTATAAGCGACAGCATAAACATCGCCACCGCCATTTCCATCCCCATTATCGTCATCATCCTCTTCATTAGCAACAGCATCATCACCATCGTCTTCATGATCATAGTCAACAACTTCGTTTATCAATTCTTCGGAAGATTCCTCTGAAGCGGAGCTGTCCTTCCAATTTTGGTGTATGATAGAAGCATTAAATTCAGGATCTAAGGCGGTGAAGGTGAGGGGGTGAGAGGGATGAAAAGCGCTTCTGATCTCCGGCAGAAAGATGTGACAACCTCTGTGAAATTCCAAATTGCAAGTAGCACAGTAGTAATAGTATTTACTGCGCTTCAAGTGTTTGCCTTTGCACGTAAAGCAGATAGAAAGTGGAGGATGAGTTGGTCGTCGCCGTCGGCAAAGCTTGTGGGGCTGAGCCGGATCAGACAGACGACATGGAGGTTTAGTTCTAGTTAAATAAGGAGGTGGCATAAAATAAAGAGGGTGTGGTTCCATATCGGGTTTCTTTGGAATGAAAGAAGAAGCAAATCGGAGAGTGAAAATCAGGTTTTAGCTCATACATCTGTCTGCTCCCAAATATGTCCTTTTATAACATCTGCCCAGAGTTAAAGATCAGTTCCAATGTATAAAGTCAACTATTCAAGTCTCTTGTTCTCTCTCTCTCTTAATCCAGCTGTAGTGTATAAAAAAAACTAGTTCAGGCTTCCAGCCAGATAACCCAAGCACGATTATGAATCATAATTCAAGGAACTTTAGAAATTATAAATGATTAATTATTATTTAACTTTGTTAAGCCAGAAGAATTACAAGCATTTGTAAGCTACTATATCTAATTAGTCAACTAGCGGTTAATAAGACTAACTCTCCTTTAAAAGTTTTTTTTTTTTTTAATTACTTTTCTAATAGAAGGGGACAATCTATTTCCAGCTGTGCAGTTATTTAAGAACATGTTGCTTTTTTTAGTAAATCAAAGACCAAAGACCAACGCCTCCAAATAAGAAAAACCAGTGTTCAAGAAAGCGCTAGGCGCTAAACGGGCGGTCGCAGAGAGCCTAGCGCCTAGAACGCTTAATCGGAGTCTAGGCGAATTTTAGGCGTTTTAGGCGTTTTATATAATAAAAATATATAAAATATATAATATTTAGTTTATGTTTACAATTGTTGGTTAAAATGAAATTATTATTTAAGATGTTTTAAAATAAAAGTAAAGAATATAACACAATCTTATAATTGTAATATTATTTTGTCTATGTGTCATTTTTATTGAATAAATGATTGTTAAAATAAAAAACTGTACTAAAAAACGTAACTTATTGGGTTCAAAGAAGCCCATTAGAGACTCAATTAGCTCACGTGGGTAGTAATCGCATATACACATTGTCATCTTCTTCGAAGATTAGGGTTTGTGTGCGGCGGCCATTAGAATTATGGTTTTTCCAGGAAAAAGTTCGTGACTCAGTCCAATTTTTCATAAAAGAAACGTTAAAACTTAAACGCCTAGACCGCCGAATCCGATTTAAAGCCGCTGAATCCGCCAAATCTCCAGCTCCGCCCAATATCAACGCCTATAGCCAAATCCAATCGGCTCCCCTCCGCCGAGCGCTTAGGCGACGCCTAATGAAAATAAATGTGCGCTTTTGTTTAATTTTTGTTTGAGTCTTTTGACTAAGTCTTTGACTAAGTCTTTGCTGAATAAGTCATCCGTGAGATTAGGATATCAGGCAAGTAGTTGCAGTTGTTGAGTTTGTTTCGGTCTTTTGGTTGTAAGGTCTTTATAAGACCAGATTTGTTTCAGAAATAAAGAAAGTGTAACATTCAACAATCATCTCTGTTTTGTTACTTCTCTGTTTTGTCATTCAACAAATAACAAGTGGTATCAGAGCTTGTAATCCAACCTGTTACAAGTTCAAGTGTGCGAGAGAGAAAAAGAGAGATGAGTGACAAAGATTCATTGTTGAGTATACCGAAATTTGATGGAGATTATGAGCATTGGGCAATGCTCATGGAGAATCTTCTACGATCCAAGGAGTGGTGGGATCTAGTGGAAACCGGAATCTCAAGACCGGAGACGAACGTGATACTAACCGGAGCTCAGAGAACGGAGCGGGCAGAAATGAATCTCAAAGATCTAAGAGTGAAAAACTACCTGTTTGCATCGATAGACAAGACAATCCTCAAGACCATCGCTAAGAAGGAAACAGCGAAGGATATATGGGACTCCATGAAAACAAAATACCAAGGAAATCTGAGAGTGCAGAGCGCACAGCTACAGAGGTTGAGAAGAAACTTTGAGGTGTTGGAGATGAAGGAAGGAGACACAATTACTGACTACTTCTCAAAGGTCATGGTGGTAGCAAACGATATGCGCAACCTAGGGGAAGATATGCCAGATGCAAAGGTAGTAGAAAAAATATTACGGACGTTGGTGGAAAAGTTCACCTATATTGTGTGTGCCATTGAAGAATCCAAAGATATCAAGAACCTCACTATAGATGAGTTGCAGAGTTCATTGCTGGTACATGAGCAAAATCTGAGCAAGCATGTAAGAGAAGAACATGCGTTGAAAATAGAAGATCAAAGAAATCTGTATGGAGGTAGAGGCCGCGGAGGTTACCAAGGTCGGGGACGAGGTGGTCGAGGTCGTGCCAGTACAAGCTTCAACAAGGACCTTGTTGAGTGTTATAAGTGTCACAAGATGGGGCACTTCAAAAATGAATGTCCAAGCTGGGAGAAATCAGCCAACTACGTAGAACTTGATGAAGAAATGCTGCTTATGACACACGTCAACATGAACAAATCTGAAGAAGAAGTCATGTGGTTCTTGGACTCCGGTTGCAGAAACCATATGTGTGGGACAAAGGAGTGGTTTACTGAGCTTGACAACACTTTTCGTCAAAATGTCAAACTTGGGGATGATAGAAGAATGGTGGTGGAAGGAAAGGGAAACCTACGCCTACAAATCAACGGCATGATTCAGGTGATTACATCCGTTTATTTTGTTCCGGGTCTGAAGAACAATTTGTTTAGTGTAAGACAATTACAACAAATGGGATTAAGGATTATTATAGAGGATGATGTGTGTGAAGTGTGGTATAAGCAACAAAGAAGGTTAGCTATGCACTCGACGATGACAAGTAATAGAATGTTTGTGATTCTGGCTGTGGTGAAAAAGTCAACGGAGATGATATGAGACAAATGCTTGCAAGTGACGCTAGAAGGAACAGAGGAGATGTGGCACAAGAGATTTGGACATCTCAATCACAAAGGAATACAAGAGCTTGTTGAGAAGGAAATGGTCACGGGTCTACCAAAAATCAATATTGATGGGGCGGTGTGTGAGATATGCATGAAAGGAAAGCAGAACCGAACAAATATACCTAAGCAAAGCACATGGAGGGCAAGTCATGGTCTTGAACTGGTGCATAGTGACATATGTGGACCAATCACACCTATTTCAGAGAGTGGGAAAAGGTACATGATCAACTTTATAGATGATTTCAGTCGAAAATGTTGGACATATTTCTTAGCAGAAAAATCAGAGGCATTGAAAACCTTCAAGGAATTCAAGGCTGCAGCAGAGAGAGGGCTTGGAGAATTGTTGGTCTGTTTGAGGACAGACAGAGGAGGGGAGTATAACTCCAATGCATTCCAAGAGTATTGTGCAGTAAATGGAATCAAGAGACAACTTACAGCTGCATATACTCCGCAACAAAACGGTGTAGCTGAGAGAAAGAATAGAAGTGTCATGAACATGACAAGATGCATGTTGTTGGGAATGTCTGTGCCTCAGAGATTTTGGCCTGAAGCTGTTCAATATGCGGTTCACATATTAAACCGGAGCCCATCAACAAGTCTGGAAAATATTACACCGTCCGAGAAATGGAGCAAACACAAACCCTCGGTGGAGCATTTCAGGGTGTTTGGGTGCGTGGCATTTGCACTAGTGCCGTATGAGAAAAGGCTGAAACTAGATGAGAAAAGCACAAAGTGTGTGATGTTTGGAGTAAGCAAAGAGTCAAAGGCGTATCGTCTCTATGATCCAGTTACAAAAAAGATTATTATCAGCAAAGATGTGAAGTTTGATGAGAAAAAAGAATGGAATTGGGAAGAAAATGTGGAGGATAATAATCTTTCGTGGGGAGAAAGGATTAGTGAGTCCGAAGAAGAAGAACAAGAAGGTCTGGCAAGAGAAGGAAACAATGATAACAATGATACAGAAAATACTGTGGCAACAAATTCACAAGAAGTCGAAACTGAAACACAAGAAGAAGAAGTTGCAACAAGTAGAGGGAACCAGAGTAGAGTCCCCACACGTGCCGGATCGGGAAGAGTAGTGCAAACTCCGGTGTGGATGAAAGACTTTGTGTGTGAAGGAATGAGGACAGTGATAGAGGAGGATGGTGAGGATGCAGTTGCTATGTTCATTGCAGAAGAAGATCCAAATAAATTTGAGGAAGCCGTGCAACATGAAAAATGGAGAAAAACAATGGTAGCAGAGATCGAATCCATTGAAGAAAACAATACGTGGGAAATGGTGGAATTACCCGCAGGAGCAAAAGTGATAGGAGTGAAGTGGATATTTAAAACAAAGTTCAATGAGAAGGGAGAAATCGACAAGTTTAAGGCAAGATTAGTCGCGAAAGGTTATCATCAAACTCATGGAGTGGATTTTTATGAAGTATTTGCACCTGTGGCTAGGTGGGATACAATCAGACTAATCATTGGTTTATCGGCACAAAAGGGCTGGAATATCTTTCAGTTAGACGTGAAGAGTGCCTTCTTACATGGGGAGCTTAAGGAGGACGTATATGTTGCACAACCTGAAGGTTTCGAAGTAAGAGAGGCAGCTGGTAAGGTTTACAAACTGAGAAAAGCCTTGTATGGCTTGAAGCAGGCGCCTAGAGCATGGTACAGTCGAATTGAAGGTTATTTCTTGAAGGAGGGGTTCAAAAAATGCTACTGTGAACATACTTTGTTCGTAAAAACAGATGGTGAGAGCATACTGATCGTGAGCCTCTATGTTGATGATCTCATTTATACGGGAAACTCAGAGAAAATGCTAGAAGAATTCAAGACGTCAATGAAAAATGAGTTTTCAATGACAGATCTAGGGAAGATGAAGTATTTTTTAGGAGTGGAAGTTACTCAAGATGAGCTGGGAATTTTCATCTGCCAAAAGAAGTATGCTGAAGATATTTTGAGGAGATTTGGAATGGAAGACTGCAACATGGTGAAAAACCCGATGGTTCCAGGCCAAAAGATGACTAAGGAGGGGGCTGGACCAGCTGTAGACTCAACGTTCTTCAAACAAATAGTTGGGAGCCTGAGATATCTGACAGCAACACGACCAGATTTGATGTTTTCTGTGAATCTTGTTAGCAGATATATGGAAAGTCCAACAGAGCAGCATCTGATGGCTGTGAAGAGAATACTAAGGTATGTACAAGGAACTACTGGGTTGGGAATTCAATATGTACGTGGAGAGGGAGACGAACTGATTGGATTTGCAGACAGTGACTATGCGGGTGACATTGATGATAGAAAAAGTACTTCCGGGTATGTCTTTATGTTTGGAGGTGGAGCTATATCTTGGGTATCAAAGAAGCAGCCAATTGTTACATTATCAACAAC